TTCAAGATATTCAAATATAATTGCTTCAAAATTTATAATAAACTTTTTTTACAAACACACAAATGAACATTTATTTTATATACGTAGTTTATCAATGAAAATGGCATTGTGTTTCTGGAATCTGGATTACGTACAATAATTTTTATAAGTTAAGTAATAAGATTAGCAAACACAAGAATACATATTCAAATACGTAATTTGAACTCGATTCTTGATTTTCAAGAGAAACTTCTTCTAAATCCATGAGGATATCATCTGTTGATCTTTTCTTATCTTCTCTTCAGCTGAGATTTTTGTGCTTTATTTGTTCTTACAAAGCATTCCAATTTTTCAGTCAGTCATTTCAGTAAGTCTGGTCATTTTCAGCATCAGAAGAAGTTTGCTGATACTGCAAAAACAACTAAATTGGCGACTAGTTCCTGACTTACATGTTTCCATGCTTCTAAAGAATAAACCACACATTTTAAGTTTATTTATTGAAGGGTTATAAAGATGTCGGTTTCAGAATTGAAAATGCTTTGTAACAATATTTTTCTATAATTTAGTTTTAGTTTTTTTAATTTAGTAGTTATTTTTAGTTTTTTGAGTGCAATTTGGAGGCATGTACATAACGAATATCGTTTAAATGATCTGCTTCCGGAATAACTTAAATAATTCAATTGAAATCACGAAGTTTTTGTCTTACTTATGGCACAAACTCGATGTGAAACCATTCAGAAAAAAGACTTCTTGAGATCCAGTTTTTTACTGTCTATAGCAAATTAAATACAATCATTTTCGAAAGCCTTGGGTTTTCTTGCTTTTTTTACAGCTTCAATGTTACTGGAGAAAATCTCTCCAGAAATATTCGATCGTCCGGATTATCGTGTGCGCATTATTAACGAGTGTCCGGACTAAAAAAGTTTATTTAAAAAAATATATTGTTTTGTAATTTCAACAAGAAACAACAAATTGAATCCATTGCTCAAGATTAAAAACCATTGATCAAATTTACATATAATTCTGTAAATTTGATGGCATTTAACCGATTCCGGTTGTTTTTAGTCCATATTTTTTTATCACAAATACTGAATGTTTCAGCAGGCTTGCGAAAAGAGTAGCGAATATTTTCGATCCGGAACATATCAGCTATTTTTTACATTTTGAAATGCCTTTAAGCTTTACCATTTGTCCATTTTTAATATCAACCATATCTTGCATACTTTACGGCAATAAACAACACAGTTCCTGTGTTGTCGGAATCAATATTCCAATACAAAAGTGAAGAAACTTTCAATTTGGGTGTTTCGAATAATTTACAAATTAAGTTAGGATTAAACAATGTGGATTATATAATTAATTATATTCCCAAATTCCAGTTAATCTTCAAGCTGGAAACTAATCTTTTTTCCGGCTCATCCAATCCAAAAGTTGTCATACTTTCAAGGAGTCAAAACGAACGCTCGAAACTTCTGTATTATTTTCTTGCATTTTCATCTGCAAAACTGCAGTTACGCAATAAAGGGACATTCCAGGGCTTCTTCGGTAGGGATCGATGAAACCTGAAACGCCACGAGCCTTATGAACCGGACTGACCTTAGCAGGAACACGAATTCTGCACCAATGCTTTAAATTTTAGTAATTTTAGAGATTTGATCTGCAGAAAGAATGTTTAATGCTTATTTAGTCTTCTGGTTCTAAATGGCATGCCAGTAACTCAATGGGAAAAAAATCAACTGTTTGAAATATCCACTTTCTAGAACGTACACATACAAGTAGCAAAATTTACTATTAAAGATAAATCCTGCAATTTATTATAACTTATTTTTAGCTCGCCAGGCAGTTGACTAATGTACCATAACGATTAGAGACATTTACGTGGCGGGCCATAAATATTCTGGGACAGGCTTAGAATTTATAACAATAGAACGACTAGAAAATACCACTATTAAAGAAAAAAATTGCGTCTAAACAATGCGGAATTTTTCGTAAATTGTCCCAGATGCATATGCAATATGGTGAGATATTATAGGGCATTTACATCAGGTTAGTAACATACTTATTTGCATATGTGCGTATAGGAAGATATTCTATATCAGTAAAGGAAAACTGTGACTTTATTATTTGTATGTACTAGTTTGTTTTGCTTATCCATAAGTGGTTACTTACCAGCTAACAAAACTGGGAAATATTGGCATTGTTTAATTGAAGAGGCGATTAAGTATTTCAGCATCTTTTAAAGGATGAAGTTAATAATTGTTTAAAAGTTGGAAGACCAGCTGGAAGAATGTTTAAATGATAATAAACTTGGTTGATTATATACTTGCTCACAAAACCTTGAAAATTAGACTAAAATTATTTAAGTTAAGCAGTTTTGAAAACTAATATGTCTTTTTCATGGGCAAATACCTTTTTTAAACCTCAATTGGGTTTAATGTATTTTTTTTCTAGATATTCTTCTTATTTTTTCATTCGCAAGTATTATTAGTAGCATTAAAATGCAGTATTTGGCGCAATGTTTAGATGGTTATCTGTAGGAAATGCAATATACCGGGTGTCGATTTGAAAACACCCCACCGTTAATGTCTTTCTTGCAGTTGAAAATATGGAAAATCGGAAAGACCCGTCAATTTGTAAGGGGGACACTTTAAATGAATATTTTTAGCCTCCTTGTTTCAACCCCCTAGGACGGGTAGATGTCTTAAATGGGAAGGGGGGTCAACTGGCACATCATTTGGAAGGGCGTTCCATTATCTTTACATTAGTTATTACTGTGTTGCTTTTTGTCCAGAGATTTCCGAATAATCGCGTTTCAAAGTTTTGGAAACAATTATGCTTGGGTGCATTCAGATATTGGTTTTCAGGTTAGTGTTTACAGAAAAACAATTGTATTGGGTCTCCTCGTAATACAGATGATTAGAAGAGTAGGTTACACTGTTAAAATCGTTGATAAACAGGAAGAAAATCTAGTTTAAACATTGATTTTGATCTTATTTCTTATTTATTGATTGTTTAACATAGACAAAAACCTTTTTATTTGCGGAAGAGTATTTCTACAATAAAACCTATGTCATCTACTTACGCACTATCGTTCATTAAATTGTTCAAAATGTTGTTCAGTTTGCTGTAAACGATAATAAAGTCTGCTGCAATTCGCTTTTTAAGATCATAAATATCAGCAGGTTGTGTTTTATAAACAATGGACGTAAAATGTCCCAAAAGAAAGAAGCCTAAGGGTGTTCAATCCGGTGATCTTGGAGGCCATTCAATTGATCCCGTTCTGCCAATCGATCTATCCGGGAATATCTTATCAATGTTAGGGAGGGTTCGAAAACAGACTTTATTATTGTTTACAGGAAAATAGACAACATTTTGAACAACTTATAAGATAGTGCGTAAGTAGATCCCATGGGTTTTATTGTAGAAATTTTTCTTCTGTAAATAAAAAGTGATTTTTCTATGATAATAATTTCTAAATAATCAATAAATCCGAAATCAATTGTTTAAACTAGATTTTCTTCTTGTTATTCAACGATTTTAACAGTGTTACCTACTCTTCTAAAGATCTGTATTACAAGGAGACCCTATACAATTGTTTTTGTGTAAACACTAACCTGAAAACCAATATCCGAATGCACGCAAGTTTAATTGTTTCTAATGCAACTCATGTAAAGATAATTGAAGGCCCGTCCTAGGGGGTTGAAATAAGGAGGTTAAAAATATTAATTTAAAGTGTCCCCCTTACAAATAAAATTTACGGGTCTTTCCGAGTTTTCATATTTTCAACTGCAAGAAAGATATTAAGGGTGAGAAGTTTTCAAGTTGACACCCGGTATAGAAATGAAAGTCGCCCTGTGATTAGTATTGGTTATAAACAAACGAAACGTTACAGAAACTTGAAAAATTACCAAGGACCAGTTTAAATTTTTTTCGATAATAAATGTATCCAGTGCATAAGAAGTTTACATAATTATTATAATTTGAAAAATTGCTAGAAACATAAAGTTATTTAGATTGTTAGGAGATACGCAATTTACTGGAAAAAGTGCCTTTGTCCCCGTTTCTATTTTTTTGAGATCCTATACCATCAGTACAGAAAAACATTTAAAATTCATTAAGACGCGTGTATAAAGTGGAAGACAGCCTATAGAGTGTAGAAAGTCTTGTCTTGGTGCTGATCGTCTTTGCCATTCCTCTTCTATTAAATTGGTTACCATAGAAGGCGGCAAGTTAATGTCTACTTTATTCAAATAGTTACCTCATTACCTAAATGAAGGTATGAGCAACAGGCCCTAGGCAGGCAGGCACCTTCAGGGGATATTTGCCTTAACTAAGTTAGTATCCCCTGGTTCATTATAATGTTAGCAGAAGTAATTATATGGTAGGCATGCCCGATACTATAATATTGAGGATTTATAGCAGGAAAGGTGCGCTTATAATGACTGGAAGAGTTGTGATTTACATAATATATGGTCAATAATAATTCGAGAGTTATGAGTAGGGACTTTGAATAAAATTTATTAATTTTGTTGTTGTTTGCTTTGCCTGATGATTTCAAAATAAATAATGTGGGAATAGACATAAATAATCAATTTTCAACTGGTGGAAAAATTTCATATGAACCTATAATACAGGCGTATCAGAGTTTCAGCAATGTTCATGGGCTATTAAAATATTATCGTTATCAAACCCAGACGAGATTAGGCTGTCGAGATACAAAAATCAAATATGGATGTGAATAAAGAAAATACAGAGTTTTTGTTGTAAAACACGACCCTCTCTACTATTGAAAATGTATGTTAACATTTATCAGACATGTTGACTTAATACGAATTTTGATTTATTGAGTAATTCAGAGAAATTTTGTTTCACGCCACGTCCATGCATTTGCATATGTAGTGTAAACCAGCTAAAGGCGTTACAGTGGTTTCATGCAACATATTTTTCTTCTGTTTTTGTTTCATACAGCATAAACACGTTTCATCTGTCTGCTTATTCTAATTTACGTGTTTGCATTTCAGAGTAGACACAACAGCTGTGAATTTCCCATGTCTTCTAGACCAGAGGCCTCTGCCTGTTCATCTAGCCTTCCGGGGCATTTCCGTATCGATTGGTGGACGGCCAGTCCTAGAAGATGTTGATGGACTGGTCCGGCCAGGTCAAGTTTTGGCTGTTATGGGACCTAGTGGATGCGGTAAGTGAAATTACTTTCGTTAACTCATCATATTCAATAATACATGGATCTTATTAAGTATATTTGTAACAAAATGTTGGTAAACTAATAAATATTATATAAATGTAATCTGATTTTAATTCAGCTGCCTATTTTCTCAAATGTTCATTTTAGTAATTGAATTTACGTAGTCTGAAAGCTCAAAGTTTCTGACTTAATTTATCGCCAATCGAGCTTTAAAAACGCAGGATAGTGACCTATTTATTTGGATCACATTGAACGCTTTAATGGTCCAAATGAGGCAAGTGAAGGTACTATTAAAAATTTTAATTAGTTTTTTAAATTATTAATGGACTTGCTAAGTAGGAAGGCAAAGTTTCAATTTACTTTTGCCAAATTTTTTATGCAAAGTGTAGAATTGTTATTTGTCTGAACGAATGCAGGAAAAATATAACGTTATAAGTTATAATAATAATAACATTTGCTCTCTAACAAAGTTTTTTAAAACTCTGGGATGGATCCTGGATGGATTAATTTGGAAATTCCAATTTAAAGTATTTTAGCCATTCGGTGCGGCGTAGGAATATGCCATCAATTTCCTCATTACCAGTTAGGAATGTATTCTGCAGTTGATTTTTAATACTGACTCACTAAATTTTGTTGGTTTTTATTTTAAATAAATAATTTGCAACTCGTTTTAATTAGAAATTTCAATTACCGGCATTATCAGTTTGACTGGAAATTTCTATTCTCATTTTCTTCGAAATCACAGGCTTGAATCTTCAGAAACTTTTTTACTGGAATGGTTACGAATTACTTCAAAATTGGTGTGTTCAATTTTATCAATCGCGGTTAAATTCTGAGAGCTTGATATGCTAGCCAGAATTTATGATTTTAACCCATCGGATTTCTCTATTTGAGATTATTTAAGAACGTGCAAATGAACCAATTACAATATCAACTTTAATGATATTGATTATTGATATATAATTTCATAATAAATCAGAACTTTTTTTTCATACTACGTTCTTTCACTTAATGTATTCTTCGTCTATAATGAACCGTAGGTCATATACAAGGTGTTTCCGGTGTAGATATTTAGAGTAGAAAAAAACAAGCGGAAATATTAGCTAGAGCCTCTTCTAGACAATGATTTTGTTAGAATATATTGCGTCTAATTTAACACTGTTTTTCTGTTCTAATTGCTAATTGAAAAATAATCGAGTTTATTCAGTTTTTTAATTAAGAATTATTTAGAAACCTCTTTTTCTCCGAAAAAAGTTGATAAAAATGAAATCTATAATTTATCTATTACTAACACACTAATATCTGAGTCACTAAAGTAAGTTTGTAAACTTTAGAGTTTTTTAGCATGCAAAATAATAAGAAAACACATAAAATATCTTAAATTTTACAGTCTGCGACTAGATATCATTTGACTATTTTATATCATAACTTAATTTCGTTACAGCTAATATGTTAAATCTGAATTTTTTTACTTCATTTACCTAAATTTTGTTTTCCAAAACATTTAGGTAATTAAAATTTCAGTACTAGAAATATTTTTATGAGCCCAAAATACTCAGGACATAACTTAATTTTTTATTCGACAGATATCATCATGCTATTTCTTTTAGAAGCCATTAGGAGGCATTGAACAAGTATAATCTCGAAATGAATTATCCAAACTAAAGTTTTTTTCCAAAATTCTTTGTTTAATTGTTCGATCAATTTCCATTTTAATCCTCATTTAATTAGAATTCTAATAAGTGATGGGAAGATTGGCTTTGTAGTGTTTAAGCTGTAAAGCTCTTATTGTTGTCGTTAACCACTTTTTCTTCTTTAGAGCAATTTCAGACGGTCTTTAATTAACTTTTAAGAGTTTATCAAACTGCCGTTCGAGCGAAGACGGTGTAATGAACGTACAAAGTTTGAAGTATTATCTCAAAAGTACAACTAGGGTTAATCTTAAACTCAAGATTGCAAGTAATATAACTTAGTGCTAAAATTTGGAGAAATTACAGATTTTTATTTAGCTGTTTGAGTAATTTGTGAGTGCGTAACTTTTTTTGGTCTGATTATGTTTCATTAATCAATAGACCGCATTTGAAAATAAGTAGACTTTTTTATTGATTAATATTGTCCGAGTGAAAACGATAGTTTTTTTTCAGGTAAAACTACTCTCCTCAATTGTTTGAGCGGTCGGCTCAAGTTAGATTCGGGTCAAATTTACTTTAATCGGGATCCATTATGCAAAAGATGGAAACGGAAAATTTGCTACGTCCTTCAGCAGGATATATTTTTTCCAGATCTAACTTTAAGGTGAGCGAACTGTTGCTCTTTTATAATGTATAAGGGAAAATTTCCCCCCCGTTGAATAAATATTAATTCCCATGTTTGTTTTAGACAAACTTTAGAATACCAAGCAAGACTGAGACTGTCGGATGTCATGTCCCACGCACAAAAAATGCAATACGTCGACCATATCATAGATGTTCTAGAATTAAATAATTGCCAAGACACAATCATCGGAGATTATCTCAAAAGGGGGTTGAGTGGTGGAGAAAAGAAGCGTGCCAATATCGCATGTGAACTTCTAACTAATCCCTCATTAATGCTGTTGGATGTACGTTTGATGCATAGCGTGCAAGTTGATGAAGCATTGCAACTTTTTGGATGTTTTAGGAACCAACATCAGGTCTCGATTCTCACGCCGCGCACAGTTTAATGACGACATTGAAACGATATGCAGTCTCAGAAGGAAAAACAGTGGTGATCACTTTACATCAGCCCTCCTCACAAATCTTCCATTTATGTGATAAGTTGCTCCTACTATGCAATGGTAGGACAACCTATTTTGGAGACACATGCAAAGTAGTGAACTTTTTTAGTAACGTTGGAATTCACATTATGCCTCATTATAATCCAGCAGACTTCATCTGTAAGTATCTTCGATAAGTGTGTGTCTAACGTTAACTTTTTATTTGATGTTTTTTGCTTAATTCTTCTTTGGTTGGTTGCAGTGGAGCAAATCAAAGGACCAGAACAAATTAGGAAAACAATTATGAAAGCCGCAGAAGATGCAAGGAAAAGTAAAGATTACCCTGTAGAATTAAGGTGCCACGATGTTCCGTATATATCAGAGAAATATGATCATAAGATACTGCCACCTTCTCATGGACCGTATCCAAGTTTAGAACGTAAGGAATTTTAACTCGACTTTTCAACTTGACTGAGCGCAAAACTATATTCTATATAAAACACAGCCTATTTTGCGCATTTAAAACGAAAAACCTTTTAGAAGATGCATTAAACCACATGGAACCAGACGTGCGAAGATTATGGTTGGATACACATTCACATGCATCATCTTCAGTAAGTTCCGACACGAGCGATGCAGATTGTTATTTCTCGTGGCCCACCAGTTTCTGGACGCAGTTCAAAGTTTTAGCGCAGCGAAATTTTCAAGAAGCCAGACCTAGAATGTTGTCGAAATTAAATTGGGTGAGCCAGATTTAAATTAGATAATCCCGTGCTGTTTACATTAACATCGGAATTTGTATCAGTGATGAATTGTTTCTTCTAGGTTCAAACGGTAGGATTAGGGTTATTAGCGGGTCTATTGTGGTTTCAACTGGAGCGACGCGAAGAAGCGTTGCATGATATCCAAGGATGGATGTTTTTTTCGACAACATATTGGATGTTGTTTGCACTTTTTGGCGCTCTTAGTTCGTGTAAGTTGGCAGTTTTCCTACTCAAAGACTGTATACTTATTTGATTAAACTTTCTTCAATGTATTAAACCTGATTTTTTGCAGTTCCCCCAGAAAGAGAAGTGATAAATAAGGAACGACGATCGGGTGCCTATAGATTGTCGGCCTACTATCTGGCGAAAATGATCGGCGAACTGCCTTTAACAATCACCCTTCCTGCTATTTATCATTTTATCTCTTATCCTATGCTGGGTAAGTTGTTCTAAATCACGTGTAAACATTTTTGGATTGACCGTGGTTGTTTTGGTTGTTTCAGGATTTCATTCACCTTTAGCGTTCCTTACTCTATTAGGTTTCCTATTATTAAATACCATTGTAGCACAGAGTGTGGGATTTTTCATCGGTGCCTGTTGCATGGATATGCAAGTGAGTTATATTTAATTTAATCTCTTCATAATTTTTTCAATGCATTTTTTATGCATTTGAATTGAAAAATGTGTTTTGATTAGTAATGCGCATTTTAAATACAAATAAAGCGATACAAATAATAAATAAAGTTGATAATTTGACTGACACTATAAAAATTGTTTCAGATGCAATATTTTTTTGTAATAATTACTGAATTACTCAGAAGGATCTCTTAATAAAACGTAAAAACCACCACAGGACTTACATAAAATGGATTTTATGAAAATTATTAGTTTAACGAACTTTTATTTAACGAACGTTTATATTTAGGAATGTTTTCCGGGCTTTGAAGCCGTGGTCTATCGGAATTTTACAACGCTCAAAGCCTCCGAAGAGCAACCTCACTTTCAGTGAAAGAAAAGCCCTGAAAACGCTGAATGAGGATAAGGAGATTCTCGTGTTGCCAGCTGATAAGGGCAATGCAACTGTGGTCATGTCTTCATTGAACTACGAAGACAAAATTTAAGAACTTTTGACCCCGTCAACGTACAAAAAGTTGACACGGGATCCGACGGCACGGATACTAAGAACAGCGAACAAATTAATTAAGGATATGACATCTCCATCCGAGGAGTTGGCAAAACTCAAAAAATCAGAAGCACTTCCACCAAGGCTCTACGGACTCCCCAAGATCCATAAACCGGATGTACCACTGAGACCCATTGTGAGCGCCATTGGAAGTCCGACCTACAATATTGCAAAATATCTAGCCAAACTATTACA